TGATATAGGGCATATGAGTGAAGGAGGTAATTCGTTTTTTTTTATTTTTTTCCACCTTGATATATAAATTGAAGTTTCTTGGAATCTTTTTTTGTCAATAATAATAAAATAACAATAATGACTATAATAATAAACAGAATTACATATTCATCGTTTAAGACGCGATGATGGAATATCAGCTGTTCGTTCCATTCAAACTTTGGAAATTGAACTTGCAGAAATTATGAAAGGATCTTTCGATCACTTTATGCAAAAAGAAATTTTTGAACAACCTGAATCTGTGGTAAATACTATGCGTGGTCGTGTCAACTTTGAAAATAATAAGGTGACGCTTGGTGGTCTTAAAGCTTTTTTATTATTGGTTTGTGAATATCGAATATTGTCGAATGTAAATGAAGAATGTAAAGAAATGTGTAAACATGTATGTGAAAATTCTTTTTTTAGATTTAATGCGAGCAAGTGTAACATTAATGTAATACAAATCAACATGAAAAAGAAAAACAAAAAGAAACTCCTAATATTTATTTTTTGATTCATTGCCGAATTATGCTTAGATTGCGCAAGTGTAAAGTTAATCTTCCAACCAATCATTGTCATCATCGTCAAGAAGAAAATCCTCGTTCTCATTTGGTTTTTTTAATTTCTTAATATCTTTAATATCTTTCATTACAATTAATCTATCATATAAGTGTGGAAAAAAATCTCCTCCGTCTACATTATTGTTTTCCCATTTAATATTATTTTTAATTTCTTCTTCTTGTTCTTCTTGATGATGATGATGATTATTATTATTACGATAATAGATTTTCACTAGAGTTATTTCTTTTTCATTTTTGAAAAATAAATTTGCAACAGTTAAAACTTGTCTAGCTGTTGAAAGATGAATAAATCCATCATCAATATCCAATTGTGTTAACGGCAGAGTGTAATTAGATAGAGAAGAAATTAAAGACGGTGTAGGGGAAGAAATTGAAGGTGGTAGTTCATGTTTTGTTGAAAGAATTTTGTAAAGATAATTAACATTATTAGTTGTTAACATTTTTTTTCCCCTAAAATTTTTCCGTGTGTGTGTGAATTATCTATCACCTTAGATTTGTTACACGCAATGTTTTTCGGAGGAAAAAAAAAAGGTTTTTGATCGAATATTTATTGTCTTTCTTACTCGACAATTTATTAAATGTTTAATAATCATTTTTTTACGTTGTACGACATAAAACAAACCTAACTCATATTTCTACCCAATCAAAATAAAGAACGGATTTTTTAGTGTTTTATCAAAAAAATATTGGCCAAAAAATAAATTTTCTTTTTGGTTTTTCATTTCAAAAAAAAAGTGCTTACTATTATTATTATTGTGAAGATCTGGAATAGATAAAGCTTTTAGAAGAAAACAATTAATTATTTGCCAAAAAAAAGCAAAGAAAAAATAATTATTCGAATAAAGATGATAGATAATTGCAACAACAAAACCAGACAAAATGAACATTTGCATTACAATAGATTTCAGCTTCAAAAATAGTTTAACATCGCTATTATATTATTAACATGATATAACAATTTTTATAACGTAGTGAGTGATTGAGTGATTGATTTTATTCGCTGATTTTGTTTGAACCCCAAAATTCAGTCAATAACTTTATACTAGCAAAAACCCATTGATTTGACGGGCTATTGAATAGTAAAATAGTTTTTTTAGTGGAGAAAAATTATTTTTTTAGAGTTAGTTATCATTCTACTGACCAGTTTACACATTAAAAATACAATAAGATATAAGGTTTGAAAAAAGGACCCCAAAAACCAAGTCGGCTGATATGTATTGATTTGTAATCGATTTTTATATTGCGAGTAGCTTTTCTGGTCAATCTTTATTGTTTTACATTTATGGCCGAGTTTGAGTTAACTTTTTAGCTAGACTCTTTGATTAATCGCAAGCCTTCATATTCATTACTCGTCAATTATATTTTATGAATTTATTTAACAATTATCCTCTTGTACCTAAAAAGCTTCGGCAAATATATAAGCCCACTTTACGACACAAATAATAAAAATACGAAAGGGGCTAGATCACATGTCCGAGACGATTGGATCTTTTGATTTTTAATTTCTTTGCATAAGATTGTTGGAATTATTTATTTAGAATTTATACTTTACATATTCTAAAATATGCAATTATAACGTTAATAAAATCCTTTACCACATCTAGAATTTCTTTACATCATGACCAATCTTAGCCCACCTTTAATGTTATTTTTATTATTAAAAATAAAAATATGCATATGGATTGTGCTGTTGTTAATAGGCAAAAACTTATTTTTAATTTTTGATTATTATTCTTTATCAGTCTTTCAGAAAGACTTTTCTAATGCGGGACAACAAATTACTTTGTTATGAAACAACCTTTACCAATTAAAGAAGGAGTTGCCAAATCATTGTTAGAATTACACAGAAAATCGACTGATAATGGCCAATAAAAAAACGAATTCTTAATCATGATTGAAAATCAAAAAAATTTTTTTTATAAAACACGCAATCTTTTTCATTAATTAAAATGGCAAATTCATCTAATATAATTGGTCTTAGAATTGGTCAAAGTTATTCTAGTATCGCTATTATTAACAAGGTACTTTATCTTTATTTTTCTTTATTTTAATTCAAGAGTTATGGAAAATTTATGCAACGATTAATCATGATTTTCATCACTGATTTCATTTATGATCATTTGATTCAAGGATGGTAGAGCTGATTGTATCGCAAATGAAGATGGTGAACGTCAAATACCTACAATGGTGGCATTTTCTGGTGAAGAAGAGGTATATTATATGCGAAATAAAGAGATTCAATTTATATTTATTAATTTTTGATTAATTGTTTTTATATAGTTCACAGGAACACAATCTAAAGTACAACTACTAAATAATTCAAAAAACACAATTACTCAATTCAGAAATTTCATTGGTAGAAGGTTATAAATACAAATAATTTATATAATAAATGAATTTGAAATAATAATCTTTATAAATCAAAAAAATAATTATTATCAATTCTCGCAAATGCAATTTTTTTAAATGATTACTTTTACCAATTAAAGAAGGAGTTGCCAAATCATTGTTAGAATTACACAGAAAATCGACTGATAATGGCCAATAAAAAAACGAATTCTTAATCATGATTGAAAATCAAAAAAATTTTTTTTATAAAACACGCAATCTTTTTCATTAATTAAAATGGCAAATTCATCTAATATAATTGGTCTTAGAATTGGTCAAAGTTATTCTAGTATCGCTATTATTAACAAGGTACTTTATCTTTATTTTTCTTTATTTTAATTCAAGAGTTATGGAAAATTTATGCAACGATTAATCATGATTTTCATCACTGATTTCATTTATGATCATTTGATTCAAGGATGGTAGAGCTGATTGTATCGCAAATGAAGATGGTGAACGTCAAATACCTACAATGGTGGCATTTTCTGGTGAAGAAGAGGTATATTATATGCGAAATAAAGAGATTCAATTTATATTTATTAATTTTTGATTAATTGTTTTTATATAGTTCACAGGAACACAATCTAAAGTACAACTACTAAATAATTCAAAAAACACAATTACTCAATTCAGAAATTTCATTGGTAGAAGGTTATAAATACAAATAATTTATATAATAAATGAATTTGAAATAATAATCTTTATAAATCAAAAAAATAATTATTATCAATTCTCGCAAATGCAATTTTTTTAAATGATTACTAGTTATACTGAATGTAAATTAATGACATCAAATTCCACTCCTACTACCATTACAGCCACTCCATTAATCAATAAAGATGATAAACCAGCTTATTCAGTTGAATTCAAAGACCAAGAAACCATTTTTACAGTTGAAGATATTTTTATAAAGTATATAAAAAGTCTTAAAGAAAGTGCTGAAAATTTTTTAGGTTTTCCAGTTGAAGGATCAGTTCTAGCTGTTCCAACTTATTTCACTGAAAAACAACGTGAAGCTTTAAAAACTGTAACTGAAAATGCTGGACTACAAGTTTTACAAATAATCAATGAACCAACTGCTGCAGTATTGGCCTATCATCAACATCAACAAAATCTTTTTGCTAATAGTAGTAGTACTGCATTGCTTAATAACAACAATAACGCCACCTCCACAACTACCTCAACCACTACAAGTTGTTCTTTATCACCATTAAATATTAATTATAGTAATATTTTAGTTGTTGATTTAGGATCTGATAGTTTGGATGTGACAATTTTATTAGTTCGTTCAGGAATATACACAATACTAGCAACAATTCATGATCCAAATCTTGGTGGCTCAGCATTTGATGATCTACTTATCAATCATTTTAAAAATGAATTCAAACGTAAAACAAAAATTGACATAACAAACAACAAACGTGCTTTAATGAAATTAAAAAATTCTGTTGAATTTACTAAAAAAACATTGTCCAGTAGTACTGTAGCTCCTTGTTCTGTGGAATCATTGGCCGAAGGAATGGATTTTCATGGAAATATCAATAGAACAAGATTTGAAATTATGGCAAATAAAATTTTTAATAAAATTTTTGAAATTGTTGTCAATATTTTAGAAAACAATCAATTAAAACCTCAATATGTTGATGAGGTGAGCATGTGTTTATATAATTCTATTTATTTGTTAATCTTTAAATAAATAAATTAAAATTACATTATATGATATAAAATTCAGGTGATTCTCGTAGGTGGTGCATCTAGAATTCCTAAAATACAAATTAAACTTCAAGAAGTTTTTCAAAATTCCAATAAAACAATAATTCGTCAAGATTTAGAACCAGATGAAATAGTAGCATATGGTTGTGTATACCAAGCCTTGTTTATTGCTAATCTTAACAACATTCAAACCATTAAAGGTTTTCTTGAGTCAACAACATCAACAACTCTGTTATCCACACCACACTTATCAAAAACAATTGGTACAGTCATTGCTGCTACCAATGATAATAATGATGGATTTGTAACATTGATTCCAGACAATGCACCTTTACCTATTCGTCGTATTTTTCAATTTACAAACTCAAAAGAAAATCAAAAGGCAGTTTATGTCCCAATTTGGGAAGGTGCTTACAAACTAATTTCAGATACAAATCCTATTGTTAATAATAATGATGGCAGTGGTGATGGTAATCTTGATAAAAATATTACAAATATTATTACCACAATTAATAATAATAATTCTATTGATAAAGAAAATGAGGAATATTCGTCATTAATATCAGAAAAATACATTGTTGTGCCAGAAACATTATTAGCAGAACTTGTATTAACAGAACTTCCTGAAAGCAAACTTGAATTTGAATTAATAATTGAAATTGATATAAATCTCAAATGTAAAATTATATTAAAAGAAATAAATTCAAATAAATCAGTAGAAATAGAATTGAATAAAAATAATAATAAAGATGTTAATAATACTACTGGTAAATAAATTTTTAATAATATCATAATAATAATAATAGATTAATAATAAACTATTTATTTTATATCTATATTGATGTGTGAATTTTTTTATTAATACATTCATTTCATTTTCCTTTTTCTCAAATAACATTTAAAAAGTTACTTTGTCATATTTATTATCATCAAATCTATATATAATAATAAACTTAAAACATCATTAAAAAAAAATTATATATTTATACACTGAAATCAGGCCCTTGGATAATTATAATTGAATTGGTATGTAAGGCATATAAATTCTAACCCGAATATCTTACTAAAATGGCAAGATAATTTCCTTTTTTGTCCATTTTTTAAAAAGTTCAATTTTTACTATATATGAAAATGCTTGAAAGTTTTTACAAGATCACTACCCCATTTTCACCATACCAATTCAATTATAATTACCCAAGGTCCTCCAAAACCTATTAAAAAGCTTTTCCATATGACTTTTATCAAGTGTTTTTCTGAAATTTTTAAAAATTAGTCACAAACCTTAATTTTGCCATCAAATTTGACACAGATTTTTCAGGACCTATTACTTTCTTCTAGAAAAAAAATAAGGGAAGGTTATTAATAAAATCCTGTTAAAGTTTATCAACCAAATTACTCATTTGGAAATTAATTATTTCTTTTGGTTAGGGATGGGAATGGTTCAGTTTATAAACTACAAGTTTGGCTAGTGAACCACTCCAACCAGCAGTTTACCATTGCAGTCTGAACCATGATTCAAACCCAAGTTTAATGCGGTTTTACAATTTATTGATGATCAAATTAAGTACTGCAAGAGGACCCCGGAAACTACATAGATAGGTTACATTATTTTTGGGTAAATCAATATGTAAAAAAATCGAAAGGTCAGAGAAAATTTTGGGTAAATTAATATATATGGTTTAAAAGGTCATGACTTTCGTAGGGTAAAGAAAAAAATAGTTATGCTAGAAAATGGGTAAAATTAAATATAAATATTTCGAATATTTTTATGTCGGTTCCATTTTGGGTAAATTATTTAGGGGATAAATTTTAAAATTACACAAATTTTTTTAAAAAAAAAATTAATATTAATATGTGTATATTAAACTAAAAATATTTCATGCAATTCAGAAAATGTTAGTGAATTAATTGAAATTCCTGAGAATGAAAACTGTACTATATTATTGTTTGAAGATGAAAGCAAAGATGAAAGTGAGAATGAAGATGAGGACAAGGATGAAATGAAGATGAGGACAAGGATGAAAATGAGAATGAGAATGAACGTAGAGACAGTAATAAATCAAGGTTAATGTTAATTCCCAAATAAATATTGTAGCTGAAACAAATGATGAAACAAATAAATTAGAATAATTAAAAAAGTTAAGAAAATTGTATAGAAATAAATATTTCCTTGAGGAAATTAATTCTAAATTGGATAGAGAATATAGAGAAAGTAATTTAATAAGTCATAATCAATATGGTAAATGTGGCATCGTTTCTGACAAACAATTAAGTACAAAATCTTTTTTTAATCAAAGCACTATTTTTGATGATGTTGATTCCACTAGAGTTGCTTGTTGTGGTTTATGTGATGAAAAAAAGAAATTATTTAA